TTTTTATAAATAACTCAAGGCAGCAAACATACATAATACTCCTTCTTCCAACTACAACACCCGTGAGGTGAGGTGAGTTGAAAGTCACCCAGCCAACTTCCATGGTTAAGGCGGGACTAGAACTCAGTCTCCTGGTTTATGTTATAAAACATATAATATTAAAGTTACATTGCAGGACACTCTGTACTGGTATATCAGAAGTTGGGATAAATGTTTCAGGTTGTGTACTTCAATAGGAATTATAACTTTTTCACCATTGCCCAAACTTAAATAATCCATCAGAATAAGTGACACCTCATGAATCTGTCAAATCTCCACAATTTTTCACAATTTCAGAACTTTAATTTTCATTTATTTATTTACTCATTCATTCAATTTCTATAGCTGTCCATCTCGATCCAAACGAATGCCAAAATCTCATGTGTTTTTCCCTGTAATGGACATTTATCCTAAAATTATGTAAATTGCTTGGTTTTTAGCACTTTGACATCTCATATTTCACTATTTCATAATGTTTTGAATACTTCTTTTTATTTGCTTTATTTTGAAGGTTCCATAGCTGCCATCCAAGGGAATATCAGGAACAACCAATCACAGAAATAAAATTGGTTGGGAACACAATATATAACTCTGGTTAGCCTTGAATAAATGGAAAAGTGTCATGGCAATCACTGATGATGACTCAAAAAAAGATCAGTGTGCTGATTTTGGAACATATAAATTCGTCCTGCTTTCCCAATGCTCTTTTCCAGTATAATCTGTCTGTTCTTATTTCCATTTCTGCCCAACTCATTCTGTACCAGAAGAGCTGGCCCAGCCATACTACTAGTCAGAGTAGGAAAGAGGCAATGTTTTAAACAAGTCTTATGCAGAGATGAAATCACTCTAGAATAATCTCAGCAGAAACCTCAGGTGGGAAATGCAGATCCAGATGAGATGCCAGAATTGGTCCCTGGTGGCTAAATGGAACTATCAGTTCTTACCAAGAGATTTCACACCAGGTTTTCCAGAGCTAAAGAACAACCAAAGACAGTATGAGATTTGACTGACACGTTATCGCTCTTCACCTGCATAGTTATATTGAGGTTTCCATTATACTGAAACTTCCATCTCTGAACTTTTTGGTTGCTTCAGTGCTGAGATCATTGACTTCATCCCTGCTTCACTGTTTAAAAAAATAGGAGGAAAAAAGGAATAAACATCAGGAAGGTATTGCAATGTAACATATTTCTAAACCAAAAACAACTCCACTCTAAAAAGTGGATTATGAAAGTGAAAAGGAAAATAACACTGCATAATATAATTGCATAGCAACACCTGACATTCATGAGTTCACATGGGGATTTTAATGATGGGATATAGCAAATATCCAATTAGATCTCCTTAAATGTTTTACCCAAATATGTTTTTTTCCAGAATATGCTACATTTCTTTAACACATATTCCATCACCATGTAAAGCAGACTGGAGGTCAAAAGACATATGCTGAACTTCAGAATTAATAACAGACATTGCTATACAAGATTGAGAATTCTATAATTCTTGAATCCATTATTTTTAGGCTGTTAAAACTAGAGTGAAGTTTTCATTTCACAACAATTGGGTCAAAAAGCTGGAAGCCAGTAAGTGTTCAAAATGGTTTAATTTATATGCCTCTAAAACTCTCTGATCTCTTTTTAGCCCAAACTGCGCATCACAGGGCAACCATTTTTGAAATAAGGTACCTCAAATGGGCTAATTTAAATAACGGGTCTAAAATCCAGGACTTTCAGAGAATTGAAATTTTAAGGATCTTCAGAACAGTTGTTCTGTTCTGGCAACAGTTGTATGAACTTGTGGCCATTGCAGTGTGACTGGGCTCAGCCATAGTCAGATGATCTTGACAAAAGTCAAAAGTCATTCCCACTCCCACTGATTTTTGCCCATCCATGATTATTCTGTTTCTTTGTTAAATAAGAAAATACCTCTGAAAGGATGACCCAATTGGCCTTGAGTTCTAAATGTAGTTTACCCTATATTACAAAGTAACAAAGTAACAGAAAACAAATCTAAAATGAAGGTTCAGATTTACATAGCTGGATTATGAAGTTCAATAGGAATTTTTTCCCCTTCACGGGGCCTTTCTCCACTCCCGAGTTGAAGTGCTATCCACTCATCCTTAAGTGGACATTAAACATTGCCTTCATAACATTGTTTGTTCCTATTGCTGATCCCCATCTGTTGCTGCTTCAAATCACTTCAGTCACCTGACCTCCCTCCAAAATAAAGGTGACCAAGCCTAACAGATCTGGCCAACCTTGAGGCTGCCCTTGGAGAGCACTGGAAGAAAGAAGAAAATATTAATCTGGTACATCTAATGACATCTCAGTTATGGCCTGAGAATAAGATGAAGGCCATATTATGAGGACATAACAGAAAACAAAACTGTTGCCAAGGTCATTTTTCTGCTGTGGTTAATGCAAGGGTGGGGGGGAATTCTTAAGACTTGTCTCTCTATAACACGGCAATTTATTCATTTGGTAATTTTTATATTATAATTTTAGCCAACAAGCTGATTTTTTTTAGCTTTTCCTTTACACCATGGCTCCTCAACTAAAACCACATTCAGTTTGACTATGATAAGAACCCCACTTCACTAGACAGGGCAATTCTCCACATTTGGACGCAGGCAGCTAGATTAATTTTCCACAACATAAGCAATAAAGAGCCTCTTAGGCACCTCAAGGGTTAAAAGACTTGTGAAATAGAAGTCACTTTATCTAAACATATCACAATAAGTCTGCTGGACTGCTCCAGCCCTTTAAGGAGCAGCTTATGAGCAAATATTTGGGCATAATTTGTTCGCATTATCATTAAAATGTATGTCTCATTTTGTGGGAGGAGGTGATGGGTAGAACTAAGAGAGAATTACTGCACAGTGCAAATAAAGTCAAAGATTTGCAAAGCTGTGAAACCTGTTGGACCATGGAGTGAAGGTGGGGATCTTAAGGCTCATGTAACAGAAAGATCACCACACAGAAAGGAAAATGCATTTGGCAATGTTTGATCTTTGAAGAGTTTCACAGTAAAAAAAACCAAAACCCTGGGTTTTTAAATACAGGAAAAACTGAGATAAAGTTTTGAGCATGGGTTTGGAGGTATATTATGTGGATGACATGTAAACAGGAGTTCACAAGTACCACTGGGAATTCTTCCCTCTCTCTGCCTCCCAGATTCAAAGCAGCATCTTTTGTTACTTCAGATTCTATTCATTTAGATTTTAGAAGGTATCTCCCCTGTACCAATTGCTGCAGTAGCATGTACGAAGCTGTTCTTCACTATCCTAGCTTATAGGGTCTGTTAAATGTCTCTGGGCAGCTTTGCTGCTTCCCTTCTTGCTAATGGTCATTTTTGTTATTTTTACAATCAATTGAACAAAAGTACACAACCTGAACAGAAGCATGATGAGACAGGTATATTAGCAATTTCTTCTCTTTCCATTTTGTGTGGAGTTTGGGTATGGGTTTTGTTGTTGTTGTTTTTACTTTGGAACCTGCAGTCATTCTGCCAAGGTATCAATAGTAAAATGTTTTTTGAAGGCACACACTGATGCAAGACAGAATATTGGTTAGCCTGTGGCATTTTCTGCTTATTCTGTGTTTTGAAGTCAGCAGAAGTGCAGACGGCCAAAGATCAGCTCTGAGCTCCTTTGGATAGTCAAGAAGGCAAGAGTGTAAACATGTCCTTTAAAATGCCTCAAGACAGGTTTTTAAACAAATGTAGCATCTCCATATCCTAGTGATATGATAAGATTATAATGTAGGGTTATATAATTCTATTTCTTAATATCTTGTCTGATTTGTTCAAAAGGTATATATTAAGGCAGAATTAATCACCATTGGAACTAAAACTTTGACTTCCTTTTAAAATATTGCTACAATAGCCTTACCCAACCTAGTGCCCTCCAATAGATTATATAAATTTTAACATTACCAATTTGCAGCATAGCAAAAGGCACCAGGTTATGTTGCAGGATCTTTTAAACGTATCTGCTTATCTGAAGGTTTTAGAGAGAGAAGCCACACTCAAGAGAGCTTCTCACACATACTTTGTAAGTACACACCGTAGATATTTGCATAGTGTCCTTCAACCTTAGTATAAATGCCTTTGCTTCTATTTAATTCGAAGGGGTTGCCATCTTTAAACTAAAACTGTATCCTAGTCTGTGACTATATTTAAAGACTGAGTGATTAAAACAAAACTGCAAAACGTCTGAATACCATTCTTATGTAAAAAGAGAAAGATCTAAAATAAACCATACTTTACCCTAAACTTTTTAAAACAAGGGCCAACTTCAAAATGGGCAAAACACCATCTCGTTTGGCAGATACGTGTGGAGAAAAAAAAAACCAATGTTAGTGTGCATGTCTAAGAATGGGAAGGAAACGCAGGATATGTAACCACACAATTCTTATGCAAAACAAGTGCAACAATTACTGTGAATTCGTGGTTGGTGGCAGACACACATTAGGTAACAACGCGATTTCTGAACGTTATTACAAATACCTCTCCCACGGGTGTCTGTTTCTGGGTTTTTTTGACAGGGTGATCCCTTGGAAATCTGAACGCGACCCGAGCAGCTTTTTTTAAGATCCTCACTTAAGAGCCGAACGGGCCGATACAGAAAAAGTTCTTTATTTCACCGGATTCTACATAAGAGGGTGTCCTCCCTGTTTTCGGTTCTTCGCCCCGCCTGACTCAGCAGATCCCTCGGACGAACTGACCACAGGGATCTACTCTGTATTAGAGACCTATACTTCTGCCACCGCGTCGCAAGCCCAGCCCTTCTTTCCACCACGGGTCTCAACACTCACGTGGAGCCTCAGAACTCCCCCCACCGAGGCACAAAAAGGCCCGCCTTCCAGCCGTTGGCCGTCTCTTATTGGCCGGTGCCAGCGGTTACCATTCCGGCGGCGGGCGGGCTCCTTTGTGACGCCACAATCAGCTGTTTGAACGTTCCAATTTCTGAGCCAAGATCAACTGGGGATTCAGCAATAACCGAAAAATAAAAAAACGAAAACTACATTTGGAGAGGGAGAGCGTCCGGATGCAAGGGCATCTGCATGCATTTGGCAGTGTTGCATATCTTCTGAGAAGATCAGAGACACGACTGACATTAACCGCCGCAACCATCTCCTTCTCTTGCTAATGTTTAATTTTTTTTTCCGGTGGGGTGTCTTTCTTTTTTCTTTTTTAAAAAACAATCCTCAGTTCTATTATGAATCTTAGTTGTTGATTTCAATTAAAACTACCTCACAGACTTCGCCTAAAGCTGGTGCTTTTAAAAAAAAACTTGTAGGTTTTTTTTAATGTGTGTGTGCTTGATGACAGTAAAAGGCAACTGAAGGTAAGCGATGCTCTCCCTCTCTCCGAGAGTTTATTTTTAACCTCTCTTTGTGGGAAAGAAACCACCTGCGGTATAGATCCTGTATGCTGTAGATGTTGCCCGGGTCTTTGTTTCTTTGTTTTCTGTTTCTTTGGTTCAGCGCTGCATATTTTCTTTTTCTCAGTAGCGTATGGCATTCCGTTTTCATACCGATTTTCTTTCTGGGGGGACATTTTTAATTCTCCTTTGTATTTGGCACTACATCTTTGCGCCTTGGTGCTTCGTTGTAGATTTCTTAGTACGTGTTGTTATGGACGCGTTGTGGTTTCATCTTCTGGTTAGCACGAAGAGACCCAGCAGCCTTATTCGGCAGCCAACCCGCAGAAATGACTAAAATTCGGGGAGAGAAGGAAGGAAAAATGCGGAGAGGAGGAAAGGAAGACGAGAATATATATCTATATCTATATCTATATCTATATCTATATCTATATCTATATCTATATCTATCTATCTATCTATCTATCTATCTATCTATCTATCTATCTAT